CTTCAACTTCAAGTACTCTTATGAAGATCAACAAGTTGAATGCACACAGGAAAATTCGGCTCATTAACTCTGCTAAGGCCAACAATCTGTTCTTGCTTGGGAAGCTGTCAACGAGTTCGGTGGAAGGAAATCAAATAAGTCCAGGTTAAAAGCTGAAAAGTCAAGCTGAAAGGCTGAATAACTGACAAAGCCACTTTAAAAATCTGTTGGGAAATGTACCTGTCATTTTAGATACTGGGGTTGAACAAATCGTTGAACTCCCTCTTGACATTAAAATTTTACAAATGCAGAACTTGAAGTGGCGTTAAAAGTATAAAAAAAAAGGAAAGATCGGGACTTCATAACATTCCACATACTAGCGTTACTCTCTTTTTTACTTTTGTGCACTGTATATACTCGTGTATAAGTCTACTTCATGTATAGTACGACCCCTGACGGTTTTTTTTTGGTGAAAACTCTAATTTTATTTCATATAGCTCGTGTATATTACGACCTTAGCTTCTGAGTAATATTAATAGGTCTTTTTTTTCTTTATGTGCTGTGTCCCCTCGGGACGTAGGCGATCATGGTTTTCCATAATTCCCTGTCCTTTGTAGCTTTTAATAAATTTTGTCTTTTTGTTATTTCTCCTAAACCTTGTTCCGCCATCTATATACTCAAGCTTGCTAGGTAGGTTAAACGTTTTTCTCTGTTCCTCTTGCCTTCACTCTGTTCTGAGAGTATCGAATTTTCCAAGCCCTCTTTCCGCATTATTTTCACTAAAAATTTCAACTGTGTCTTTCTGATGTTAAGTACAAATGTTTTTTGTTTCGAGTTTCCTCAAAACTTCGTCGTTCTCACATGTTCGATCCATGGTATTCTCAGTATCCTTCTGTAGAGCTAAAGTTATGTTACTTGAAGTCTCTTATGAATAATAACCTAATTATCTATCCTGTTTATCATAATTTTAGACTTGTAGCTGCAGTAGAAATGAGTCTTTTTCTAAAAGAACATTTAAAGATTTTAAGCTCCCAATATCTGTGATTGTACATTGTGTCTTCTGACAACTGATAGTCTTTTCTTCTCTAAGAGTTTCTGTAGTTTTCTTTCTGTGCTTGCCATCAACACAGGGTTATCTATGTATTATATGAGTTTGTGTTCACCAACAATGTATTTAAAATGGAATATACTGGGTGTCCACAAAGTCATTAGACAAATAAAAAATTATTAAAATTACAACGGAAACTGTTGAAATTTTTACATAATATGAAGCAAATAGTGAAGTTTATATACAAATATTTTATCTCTATCTATAAAAGGCAGGATGTGTGTGTGCGTGTGTAACGAATGCACGGCCGTAATTTTCGACGGATTTGCACCAAAATTTACATGCACATGCTCCAAGTTACCGGGAAGGCCACGACCGACTTTGCAATTTCCAACTCCCATCGATAGTGGAAATAATCGATTTTTTCATACTTCTACGGCAGTTTTCATGTAGTTTGCTGCCATTTTCTACTGGCCAGAGTGAGAACATATAGCTGACTGCCACGAATAGGCAGGAAGATTCTATTGGCCAGCGTGAGAGCCAACAGCTGACTGACATGAATGTTAACTAGCATGCTAGCATGCAAAAAAAAATCGATAGCTGCATTCGTCACAAGTGGGAAAAATTTAAATCTGCATGGCACTTTACTCCAATTGGCTCATTCACTTGCTTAAACTCAACGTTGATTCTGATTCCGCAGAACTGGGTTGCGTGTGAAAAAGTATTTGTTGTTAACATTCTTTTTTCATTCGGTTTTTTCAGTTACGAGTCCTTTTTTTAAAGTTGATCATTTTGTGTTCATTTTGTTTAGTTCTTTTTTCGTAACAGATTTAATGTTTAGTATAGAGCTTAGAAAAAATTCGCAGTATGAGATAGGCAAGAAGTAAGGCATGTAGCAACATCAGCACGGCAAAGGGCACTCCTCTAACGGCAAGGAAGGACAAAAATATTTTAAGTCAAGTGATAAAGATTGCTGTATGAGTCGTACGATTTTTTAATCAAGCACGGACAACGCCGGGCCATGCTGCTAGTAAATTTCTATATGGGCCCCGTTCGTTTCACGAAGGGCATCTGAGCGATATTCAAATTTTTTCCATGTCAGACTTAACATATTTTCATTAATAGTCGCAATGTAGGCAGTTTATTCATTTAATTTAGTGCGGTATCTTTTTAATAGGCCTGTTGCGGTATCTTTTTAATAGGTATGTGTTTACTAGTGAGCCAGTCAAAATGAGCTGACCCATTTTATAGTGCACCAATAGAAGGTTTAACCAATCAGAAAGCTCAATATATTCAATGCGACGTGTATAAAGGCAGCCATTTTGTTTTTTCTCCCAAAATATCTTCATTGCCAACCTGATATTGAAGACTTAAAGAATTACTTAACAGCCGCTACTTTCTCTGAATCTTCACTGCCGACCTCTGATATTGAACAGAATACGGACTTCACTGGATTTCATATTCAGAGACTACGGCAAACATGGTCAACAAGGCCCATAAGTAAAAGTTCATGGATGTTATATCTGGGGAACGAAGAGATAGAACCATCTCTTTCTATCGAGCGATCTGGAAACTTTTCATTAAAAAATCCTTTGCTGAAAGGTGACATTTGGATGGAGCACCTCTAGTTGAGGCATAATGTATTCTTTCAGGGCAGCAAGTTAAGTATTAACTGTTATTGTTTTTTCTAAAGAGAAATACGAACCAATAACTTTGTTGTGCAGACTCTCACACCGCGCATTAACCTTCTGGCTGTCACGTTCGATTTCCCTAGTAAGGTGGGTGGTTTTCCGATCCCTAAATTATTGCATTTTGCTTGTTAACTTTTCCAAACACATGCAAGGTTGTCTCATCCGTAAAGCAAATGCAGTTAATGAAATCATTTTTTTTTTTGCAAGATTGTAACAGCATATCCTTTTGGTTTATTATTTACTTTGTCGATTGCAATAACTGGATTTTATATGCATAAAGCCTCAGATATTTATGGAGCACTTTATGAATTGTTGATCTTGGTAGTTGCAGCTGTACGAAAGAAATGCTGATGGACTTAGATAGGGAAGTTGAAATGATTGATGGATACGCTCAAGATCTTCAGATGTTCTTGGCTTTTCAGTCCTCGGTTTACGTACCACCGTCCCCTGTTTCCGCAAATTGCTTATGCCAGTCGAAAATCGACTGATGCACAGGAGCTTGTATTCCATATTTAGCTGTGGAATTTCTTCGTGTTTGAATATCCGATTTTGCTTCGATTAACCAAGACAAACATTGTGCATTTGGAGTCGCCATTCTCACCCAATTGTGCTTGTAGATTAATCATTCTCATCCAATTCTAGAGGTAACTCCTAGGAACTCTTTAATTGTGTTCTGAAACATAAAAAAAAATAATTGCAGCCTGAAACATAACATTAATAAAAAAAAATATTTACAGTGATGGCATATAAGACGCACGGGTGTATAAGACGCACAGCAGGGCAAATCAAGAAAAAAATTGTAATTAGTAAATTTAGTAAAATTATATATTTATGAAGTATTTTTTGATTAAACAAGCCATGATTGCAATTAAACGAAAAATAGGAAAAATAGAACACGGGCCTATAAAATATTTATTATATCCAAAGGTAAGAAAACAATAAAAATCAAGCAATTATTACAATTGAGCAAAACAGTACAGTTAACATTAAAATTTTATTCATCTTCAAATCCATAAAATTCGTCGTCTTCGTTATCAAAACTCTGATATTCATTTTCAATACTACTATCGTCGTCGTTAAATAATGCGTCATCTTCCGTTCGATCGAGAGCATTGCTAATGCCACACTTTTTAAAAGATTTCACAACAATTTCTTATCCCAAGCTTGCTTTACCCATTCGCAGATTTGTGCAATGCTGGGTCTTTTTATTATTCCTGTAAGTGTAAAGTAATGATCAGGCATTGCCATTCACGTGTTCCAGTGCTCCTTCATGCTTATCGCGAACTTTAAACCTATACATGGCATATAAGATGCAGGGGAATTTTAAAAGATCTTTTTAGTAAAAACAAATGCATCTTATATGCCGTCAAATGCGGTAATTTTAATGCTTATCCTGGTTCCTCAGAAGCGTATCCGCCTTTTGTCTAGCCTTGCTTCTTGTCTTGCTGGATGACATGCTAACTTCATCACCAGCTAAAATGCTAGTGAGAGAGCTGGTTTAGATGCCAATCACTTGTCCACGTAGTAGGTTGTACTGGGTTACATGTTACCAGTAACAGGCCTAGCGTCGTCTTTGTTATCAAAACTCGGATACTCAATTTCAAAACTACTGCCATCGTCGTTAAATAATGCGTCATCTAATTTCTGCCAACTATCGTGAATTTTAAACTTACATAAGGCATATAAGACGCAAAGCAATTTTAAAAGATATATTTAGTAAAAAAAGTGCGCCTTATATGCCGTCAAATATGGAACATTGTTCGGACTGTTGTTACATTCACAACGTTTTCGGTTCAGGAGATATTTGATAGAATTTCGAACCGAACCCTTTATTTAGTCCAAGGGGGGTAGATTATTCTAACTCCACCGGGGTAGATTGTTCTAACTCCACGGGGGTAGATTGTTCTAACTCCACGGAGGTAGATTATTCTAACTCCACGTATTTGATAACTCTGCAAGTTTTTGTTCTCTTCGCCGAGGCCAGGGATTGAATACACAATCGATAATTTGGCAAGGATGATTTGATTGATAGACTGGTTCGTTTCCTACGGCTTATCCACCCTTTGCAGTTTATTTAAAGCCAGAACATATTTTAGATTGTAATAAGTATTTAGAGATAATTATTACTAATTAATCCATAACTGGGGGGAGATTAGGTGAATTCATGAACTCCCAAAGGCGTTTGCACGTAAGTATATACAACGAACCCAACTGGAATTGGAACACGGTTTTCCGATTAAAAATTCCGAGCTATTATCCATTACACCAACCGTACATCCAAGCTTACATCACCTGGTATTCCCAAATGGTTACCCATCTAGGAACGGACCAGGCTCGACGTTGCTTAACCGAAGATCGCACGGGAACCGGTGTTTCAACGTGACGTGACCGTGAGATTATCTATCTATCTATCTATCTATCTATCTATCTATCTATCTATCTATCTATCTATCTATCTATCTATCTAGCTAGCTAGCTAGCCATCTATCTAGCTCGGCACCTATCTCATTTATAGATAACATACAACAGATACAACAGTAACGGCCGATTTCGGATGTAACCTATTATCATTATCATTACGTTTCATAGCTGACCTGATGTAACATCGTGTGTGCAAAATAGAGTCGGATAATATAAGGATTAAGGAGAAAAAGATATAACAAAAGAAAAACGGTCATACAAATTACGGGAAAATATATCGCATTGCTGAAATACGATATATTAGATAGGACCAGTTGACACTCACAAATCCCGTAAAAAAGAAAAAGAAAAGAAGTGACGGTGCTTTTTCATTAGCCCGTAAATTGTCGAATTAGCACCTATTAAAGAAGGTGAGATTTCAAAGAAAATTTGAGATTTAAAAATTACTTTCTCCCTCCCAAATTTTCCAGTGAGAATTTTCACCTTAGAGGAACATGGGCTTACAAACATTCGGATTGGGGAGTTCTCTCCTTCACTTCACCTTCTCCGTCACTGAGAAGTAGTTGACAAAATTTCCCTACTAGGGATAATAAAAGTAGTCAATACAGACCATATGCGTTGTGATATATAACACTACACGAAAAAAATTCTTCTGATGAAAAGATGGTTGATTTGATTTTCAGTGAGAGCTCGAGACAGTGCGACCTGAAGACGGACGTGGAGACTATCGCAGTGACATAACGATACGGTCATTTACGGAACAACAACCGTACTTGCCAAACATACTTAAATATAATGTCGTAACTATGTCACAATGACTACCGTCAGATATGTATGTTTGTATTTAGAATGAAGTGAAGCAATAGCCGAAAAGAGAGATAGAGACAGATCTATCTCTCTCTCTCTCTCTCTCTCTCTCTCTCTCTCTCTCCTCTATATATATATATATATATATATATATATATATATATATATATCGAAAGAGCTAGAGGGGAGAGAGAGAGGGATTTTTGTATACTATTTTCATTATTCAGACTATTGTCCTCATCCTTGTCGACATACTTATTACAACGTTTCGGCCGTTGTATGCTCTGGCCTTCTTCAGGTGGTTGGAATGTCGAACTGAACCTTTTATTTCGCTCACTAGAGTAGACTGTTCTAGTTCCACGTGCCATGTTTAATGGGTGTCAGTTATCAGTTATCTCCTGTTAATTCCCCTCTCCAAGTTCTCCACTGCCTTAAGAGGGTATTGAAGTCACACTTTTTGTGAGTCCTGTTACTGGATCTAACTAACACCTTTATCCACTGTGCCATGTGCCACGTGTCCTTGAGGACATCTGTGAATGAATTTCTGGGTATTAAACCTAATGTCATCAGCAACCATTTTTGCTGCTATAAATGCATGTTTTTTTTGTTTTTTTTTACCAGGGCTCATATTGCAATTTTTGTTATTATTATCGCTTTTCTCTGGCACTCTTTATTACTGGTTCCCCATATTGTATTCATTTCTATGCTTGGTCGGCTCAGGAGATTTATAATATAGACAGATACAGAGGATTTTTTTGCTGATTAATAGATAGAGTAGAAGCAGTGAGAATATATATATATATATATATATATATATATATATATATATATATATATATATATATATATATATATATATATGTGTGTGTATATGTGTGTGTCTGCGTGTGTGTGGAAGTGGGTGTACATGTAGGTGCATAATTATGTGTGCCTTTGTATATGTGCATGTTGGTATTTATGGGCGTATGTATGTCTATGGGTGCGTACGTATGTGCATGCGTCTGTGTGTGTGTGTGCGTGTGTTTGTGTGTGTGACGTGTCGGAGTGCGGCATAAGGTAAACAAACACAGTGCCTTTTCAATCCGATTGAGTCTCCTAAATACTCAAGATTGTTTGTTTTTAATTAATTTGTTTATTTGGAACTAGCATTTTAAATTCTGGCGTAATCTTTAACAGCGGGCCTCCAAGCTTTTATATAATTTCGAGCCATTCGGAAAAAGAAAAGAAAAGAAAACAACAGAAAGGAATATTAATCTATCAAAAGATTAGTCCTGAAAAAACAAAAACGTTAAGGATAGCGAACAAAACTGAGGAATGTAAAGTAAACGTGTGTGGGGTATTAAAAGAGTGATGAAAAATGAAAGAACAAAGTTATTAGAAGAAAGAAAAAGTCGAAATGATAATAAAGTAGAAATAAAAGGGATCTATCTATCTATCTATCTAAATTTCTTCGAACCTATCTATCTATCTATCTATCTATCTATCTATCTATCTAAATTTCTTCGAATCTATCTATCTATCTATCTATCTATCTATCTATCTATCTATCTATCTCAGTTTCTTCGAATCTATCTATCTCACCTTCTTCGAAACTATCTATCAATCAACTATATATGTATATTAAAGAAATAGAAGGAGCTGATTTTTAATTTGGAAGAAGGGTGTATGGGTCTTTCTATCCCTAATCGGCCGTTTGCTAAACTTAACTAAACCTAGTACAAGAGGTTGCTGAAAATTCCAAGAGATAGAGTCAAAAATGGAAAACTTTATGCCTAGCTCACTTATTATTGTCTTGGAGGTAATATTTTCTTTAAGCATAATATATGATTGCATGGATTATTTCATCATCATCATCATCATCATCATCATCTTCTTCTTCTTCTTCTTCATATTATTATTATTATTATTATTAGAGATATCGTCCAGTAAAAAGGGTTCTATTCGACAATTAAGAAAGAGCAGTTTCGTTTTGGGAACGTGAAAGTTAACAAGCCATTCCTTGCCCCAGATTGCAACATAAAGTAGACTGTTTCTTAAGATGAGCTACCAATTTAATCTTATTGAACCGCTGAGACTTATTATTATGAAAGGTCATTGATGAAAATTAGGAACAACGCGCTAAATTTATTTTACCTAAATATCAATTTGTCTTATTTCGATAAAACTTATTTTTAGTGGGTACGCGTGTTTGATTTGCTATCCTTGATTTTCTTTCTGAAATAGTGAAATTAATTAAAATCGATTCATCCAGTAATGTTATTTTTCAATTTAACAGCTATAGTAATTCAATGTTATATCTCTAACGCGGCGTTCTGGATCCACTTCTGAACTCACTTGGAAATCCATTGGTTTGTGATAGAGTTCATGGTTTATTAAACAGACAGAAAAATACATCTTATACATTTATTTAGGGTTACATTTTTGAAAAAAAATATCACTTTATAGAACTGGTATTCATGCTTAAATTAAGCTATAGATGAACCTTTTTTTGCCAGACGAAGATTTGTGACCCTCGCCATCTACATCCCAGGGTGACTACCCTCTCATGTTCCGATTTGTTACGCCTCTGGTTAAATACGTCAAATTGTATTAACGTCTATGTATTGATACCGTAAAATATTTCTACATTTTAACAAGAGGTGAACGTCATGTTCTTAAAGAAACTTTATTCCTATAAAAGACGAAATAAGAAAAGGAGGCCGTTTGCTTTTCTTTTGTCGCCATTCTTTCCTTCTTCTTGAGCTTTCTTATTTAACTTCCCACTTTCCTCTTTTAGATGTTTTCTCTATTTTCTCTTCCCACTTGTTTTTCTTAATTATTTGCTTATTATGTTATTGGTCCTGACCTGTCATCTCGGCGTCAGTCATTTTCCCACAGCGGTAACGTAACGTAACGTAAGTTCTATGATGACAGTTTCTTCTATCGTACTTCTCTCTTGTGGAAATCTCTTCCGGCTTCTTGCTTCCCAGTCAGCTTTTATCTTCAAAAATTTAAATGCAATGTCACTTGTTGTCTCGAATCTTCTTAATTCTTATTCTTGTATTCTCTGAGTAAACCACTTTCATCTTAGTGGCTTTATTGGCTTATTTGGGGTGAAATGATTAAACACACACACGCATACATATATATATATATATATATATATATATATATATATATATATATATATATATGTGTGTGTGTGTGTGTGTGTGTGTGTGTGTATGTGTGTGTAAATAAAAGACTAGAGGAAAATCTATTCTTAACCGACGCGAATCTTTCTGCTTTATCAAGGCTTTTAAATTTGGGAACGTTCACGAATATTCGTGAACGTTTTTGTATATTCTTGCTCTAGTATATAAACACGTGCAACAAAATAAATACTACATAAACTAATAATACTAAATTATATATATATATATATATATATATATATATATATATATATATATAAGACATTTTATGTTTATACATTCTTTTTATAGATACAAATATTTAAGTAAATGCTCTGTTTATAATAAACAGTATTAAACAACATTTACCGGCCTGAATGTCCGAGAAATTTTCACAGAAAATATTCATCCTCCGACTGTGAAAATTTCTCGGACTTTCAGGCCGGTAAATGTTGTTTTTTCTTGGAATTTTCAGCAACCTCTTGTACTAGGTTTATTATAAACGGAGCATTTACTTAAATATTTGTATCTATAAAAAAATGTATAAACATAAAAATGTCTTAAAATAATTTCATAATGTGTGACATTATATATATATATATATAGTTTTAAGGTATGCTATATTTATGGGGTAAAGTGCTCAATATCAGAGATAGAGCGTATGTAAATATAAAAGTGAACATTGAAGTCGACACCAAGAGGCGACAGGCTGTTTCATGCTAGAAGCAATCGTCAGGCCGCGATATATATATATATATATATATATATATATATATATATATATAGTTTACAATTTGCTATGTTTACTGTAGAAGAGTAATCAATATCTGAGATAACACGTTTATCGATATAGAAAGTGTGGACATAGATATCAACGATGCATGGTGTCTGACTGACAGCTTAATACAACAGGCCTGTGCAGACCTGCAGCAACAACCCACTCCTATAGAAACTTTATAGTCGGTACACGTGATAGAGTAGACATCCCATTTTTAAAAAGTAAATATAAA